CGGGATCTTGGGCACACACGCACACGCACCTGGCGTGAGTTTTAAGCCACCGGGTCCAGGATGCGAACCGCAGTCGACTACATGGGAGTCCAGCAACATAGCCATTATGCTAACTGCTGGTTCCCCTAGAGCTTTTTTGATCCCCAACGACTTTCCTTCCTGGATGTTTTCTCCCATTTAATTTAGAGTCCCTGAAATAGCACTCTAAGCCAGTCAGTTTGAGGCTGTTCTTAGATTGTTTACAGATGTCAGAGCTGGTGATAACTTAGCTCATCCTCTGCTCTAAATCTAAGGGACTGAATAACAGAATCTTCCTCGAGGAAGCATCTCTGTACTACCCCCTTATAAACGTTTGACTCAATCAAGTGTACACACGTGCTCTTTTATCTGTAGAATTATTAGCTAGCCTGAGGTAGTCTCCCTTTCCAGTGTCATAGTCACCTCCTTTTATTATCTATTGTTTAAGCAGCATGTAATAGCACAGATCAGCTGGCCCTGCTCACATGTTGGGAGCCAGCTAAGGATGCCCAAAATCTAAAGCTGCAGACACCCTTTGAGTTGTCATGGCAAGATGTTGCTGATATGGTGTCAAGTAAAACAAGAAAAACAAACAAACAAAGCACAGGTTTAAAATCACACATAGATTTCCAAATCTAGTAGCAGACAGAGATGAACTCTATGATCCTTTTACAAATATCTTTGCTTTTCCTTTCCTTTCTTTTCTTTATCTTGCGATCTTTCTCTGGTCAGTGCACATGCCCTCTAGCAAAAAAGAAAAAAAGCCAGACAGCGAAGCCTATAAATAGCATGATTTCATGGATATGAAATGCCCACACCAGGCAAACCCATAGAAACAGAATGTAAATTAGTGGTTGACAGGAGCTGATGGGGGAAAGGAATGAGGAGTGATTGATAATGGATTCTGAATTTTTTTTTTTAATCATAAAAATGTTCTGGAATTAGGTGGTGGTTGCAGAATTTTGTGAAAATAAGAAAACCCACTGAACTTTAGGGGTGAAATGTATCATGTATGAATTATAACTCAATTTTTTTTTCCAAGGTCAGGGTTAAAAAAGTCAGAAAGGGAAATTCCCAGAAGGCATATCCTGGTCGGGTTGGGCTGCTGTAACAAAATACCATTAAGCTAGGGAACCTATAAACAGCAGGAAGATATTTCTCACAGTTCTGGAGGACGGAAAGTCCAAGATAAGACACTGACAGACCTGGTGCCTGGTGAGGCCTTGCTTTCTGGGTCGTAGATGGCTCCTTCTCTTTGAGCCTTCACACGGAAGGTCGTAGATGGCTCCTTGTCTTTGAGCCTTCACACGGAAGGGCATGGTGCCCTCTGGGGTTTCTGCTGTAAGGGCGTTAAACCCACCATGAAGGCTCTGCCCCCATTACCTCATTGCCTCCCAAATCCCTCCCCTTCTAAACCCATCACATTGGGGGTTAGTTTTCACATATGAATTTTTGAGCAGACACTAATGTTTGGACCATAACAGGGTAGATATGCAGAGGAAATTTAAAATCAGGGATTAGGGTCATTGGGTGGGAAACAAGGAACTTCCATCTCTGAAGGCTACAGTATTATTGATACATTTCGTAAGGGGCCAGGAGATGTGACCTTGAGCCTTTGTGAGACAAGTGGCTGAGGATGAGATGCCTGCCTGGAGGTTGTGCTCTCAGTGAGAGGGACTGCTGGACAGTTTCCACCCACTGCTTAGGGGAGCTACCGAAAAAGGGTGCCTTTGCCTGGACCTGTGGGAGAAAAGAAGTATCCTCTAGGAAATGAGAGCCTCGAAACCCTAAGCCTCCACCATAAAGGGTCTGAAGATCAAAATCTTGGGACCAGCAGTTAGCGTAATGGCTATGTCGCTGGACTACCATGTAATCGACCACGGTTCGAGTCCCAGACCTGGTGGTTTAAACTCATGCCAGGCACATGTGCGTGTGTGCCCAAGATCCCGAGAGGAGAATGGAGGAGAAGGGATTGTGGCGTGGTCATCCCCACTGGGGGGTGATTTCTCACTTTCTGTCTCTCTGTCTGTCTGACAAGCGCACGCACTCTTTGGCAAAAATTCTCTCCAAAAAAAAAAAAAAAATCTTACCACTCATGTGGTATAGGATTCTCCATACTGAGAAACAAATGCTAACTGGTCTGAAATTGGGGACCTCTGTGCTGGCTTGTGAATGCAAATGCATAGCTGCTCTGAGATATTTGCTCAGAGAACCTGCACTTACGGGAAAAGCAATCTTGGCTGGAGACAATTGTAATCATGATGACAGATGAAAGGAATGCATTTACCTGGAGCAAGGGTTAATAGACACACCCAAGAGGAGGGTTGATAGTACCCCTCAGAACTTGCTATAAGACTCGGGAAAAGAGCATAAAAGATGTTGAAAAACGTTAAAAAGAGAAAAGCAGGAAGTAGAAGGAGCTAATGACACAAAAGAGAAAAGGAGAGCAAAAAGAAAAGAAAATTAAGTTTTGTTGTGGGACTCATGCTCGCTGGAGAGAGGCAGAGTGGAGAGAGAGAGAGAGAATGAGAAATCACCGCCAGGAGGATGGGCATGCTGCATTCCCTTCTTCTCCATTCTCCTCTCAGGGTTTGGGGCACTCACACACACACACACACACACATATCCACTGCCAGGTCTGGAACTCAAACGGTGCAGTCGACCATGTGGGATCTAGCCATCTTAACCTCTGTGCCACCTGCTGGCCCAAGAGAGTCAGATTTAAGTGGAAACAAACCAATAGAATTTAGGTAAATAAAAATGAAAATCAGTAATATTTTATAAGGATGAAAAAGTAAAGAAAATATGGAATTTGGGACCAACAGTTGGCATAATGACTATGTCGCTGGACTCCCATGTGGTCGATCATGGTTCAAGTCCTGGCCCCGGTGGCTTAAACTCATGCCGGGCACATGTGCATGCCTAAGATCCCGAGAGGACACACACACACACACACACACATATCCACTGCCAGGTCTGGAACTCAAACGGTGCAGTCGACCATGTGGGATCTAGCCATCTTAACCTCTGTGCCACCTGCTGGCCCAAGAGAGTCAGATTTAAGTGGAAACAAACCAATAGAATTTAGGTAAATAAAAATGAAAATCAGTAATATTTTATAAGGATGAAAAAGTAAAGAAAATATGGAATTTGGGACCAACAGTTGGCATAATGACTATGTCGCTGGACTCCCATGTGGTCGATCATGGTTCAAGTCCTGGCCCCGGTGGCTTAAACTCATGCCGGGCACATGTGCATGCCTAAGATCCCGAGAGGAGAATGGAGGAGAAGGGATTGCAGCATGACCATCCCCTCTGGGGGGTGACTTCTCACTTTCTGTCTCTCTGTCTTTCTCTGTCTTTCTGGCGAGCGCACGCACCCTACAGCAAAAAACCTTTCCAAAAAGAAAATATGGAATTAACAAAATATCATTAAATCCGAAGCTAAAACCAAAATACTTCTTAGAATGTATCTCAGATACACAAGGAGATGAAAAAAGATTTGGTGACATAAAAGAACAGAAAAGATTTAATATAGAATTGGAATTCCAGGAGAGAATAGAATAGAAGGCAGCATTCAGAACAGTAATGACTTTAGCGTTAGTGAGTGTTTTAAAAAATTACTAAGAGACCCAAATACAAATGCAAAGAAGTTCACACTTAGACACATCACAGTGAGACTGAAGAATGCTAAAGAGATACCACAGGCCATGTGCACTAACCAGAGAGTAATAGAGCAAGGGAGAAAGAGAAAGCATCCCCCAGTGGAGTATGTTCACACTGCAATCCCTTCTCCTCCTTTTCTCCATCCTGTTGGGTTTTGGGTCATGCACACACATGTGCCTGGCTTGTTTTCAATCTGTAAAGCCAGTATTCAAACCATGCAGTCATCCATGTGGGATCAAATCCCATGGTTGCCTTAACCATGAGGCCATAGGGGCAGCCCAAAGGAAAATCTTATAACGAACCAGTGAGAAAAGTTGGAATCCCTAGAAGGGGAATATAAATGTATACAGAAAAGACACATCACAGCTGAAGGGACTTGTAGGGTCTTTTTCCCTTGGGGATATTGTTCTGTACCTGCATTGTGATTGCAACCACTCACACGGGATCAGGTGTGTAATTTTCCACTTGCCTGGTGTCATGCTTGTGCTAAAAAATGTTCGGATTAGGGGTCTCCACTTGTGTTGTTTGAGCCCCCCATTTGTATAGTGGACAAGACCACACAAACTTGTCAATGCAGAGTAATGGGGTTACATCCAGTTCATTTTGTCCAGATCATTCAGTTCACGTGAGTACATCCTTGTCGCTCAGGGTTCCTCCTCTCCTTCTCGCTGAGCTCAGAGAGGTATGCAACGCCATGTTTTGCGATGATATGGGTGACTGTGTGCCTAGCGTGACCAGGAGCTCTTGCACAAAGAGGATTGTCTTTTGCCCAACTGAATCTCCAATGCCCTGGGTCTGCCTATCACCCAGAGAATCCTTATTGATTCACATTGATTTAAAAGCTTTTAAAATCCCTGGGTGCTTTCCTTTCCAGGAATGTTAAGTAGGGTCAGGACTGCCTTTGTCATATTCCCAGCAGGGCTGTTGTGAGGATTAATGTTTTATCATAAGTGGTCTCCCGCTCCTTTTAAAAGGCATTCATTAAGCTAAAGGTTTTCCGAGGATGTACTTAGTTTTATAATAATTCATATCTCCATGTAGTCCATTATTAGTTAAACAGAACTAATAAGGTCTCCATGCTTTCCTGTTAAAAACACGACGTACCGGAGTACACAAAATCAACACACTATTTTGAGTTCCTCTCTGGACCTTGTGTCAAGTGTTCGGTTTTTCTGATTTTTGTTGTTCTACGAGGAGATCCTGTGGGTTAGCTTGGGCTCTGGGAGGGCTGGGCGGGCAGCTGTGGGAAGATGGCCCTCTGACCTGCTGCTGTGCTATTTCTTCTCTCCTCACCCGTTTCCCACCCTGGCTTCCCAGTGAGATGAAGCAGAAGCTGGATGAGGAAGGCAGCAAATGCAGCATCCTCTCGAAGCACCAGAAGTTCGTGGAGCACTGCTGCATGCGCTGCTGTGCTCCCTTCACCTTCCTCGTCAACACCAAGCGCCGCTGCGGGGACTGCAAGTTCAACGTCTGCAAGAGCTGCTGCTCCTACCAGAAGCACGAGAAGGTCTGGGTCTGCTGTGTCTGCCAGCAAGCAAGGTGAGTGGCCGACCGCACTTTCGGGCTCTCGGCTGACGGCGCCACCACTGCCTTCAGCCAGGTGGGACCAGCAGTGATTCTAGACCCTCACGGAGTATTGGTTGCAGAAGAGAGATTGCTGAGGTGAGAGGCGGGGAAGGATGCTGACCCTCCTGGAGAGCATGAGAGGGGGCCACAGGGCGCACCGGGGTGTGCGCATAAAGGAGAGGTCCAGGTCGTCTTGAAGTGGAAGATGCATCTCCTCACATGTTTCATCTTTGCTTTTGAAATTGCCCGGGTGGTCTCATCCTGCCATTCATTCATTCCATGAGCATGTGTTGGATTCTCAGGAGTTATGCTGAGTGCAGGAAAGATGTTGCTGAATTAGGCAGGTTGCGAGTGACTCAGGCTAGAGAGATGCCCAAGCGTCAGAAGTCAATCTTGGGGACCAGCAGTTGGTGTAATGGCTCTGTCGCTGGACTCCCATGTAGTCGACCGTGGTATGTGTCCCGGACCCAGTGGCTTAAACTCACGCCGGGCACATGTGTGTGCATGCCCAAGATTCCGAGAGGAGGATGGAGGAGAAGGGATTGTGGCATGGCCATCCCCCTGGGGGGTGATTTCTCGTTTTCTGTCTCTCTGTCTCTCTCTGTCTGTCTGGTGAGCGCACACGCCCTATAGAAGTCAATCTCAGGGTGTGGTGATGCATCCTCTGACCAATCTGTGCACTGAGCAAGGAGTGACTGGCTTTTTGAAAAATATACAATACATGAAAGCAGGATCGTCAAAGACGTTTTCCAGTTAATACAACGAAAGGAGGGAGGATAACGACCCTGTGACGGAAATGACCAACATGACATCTCACATCCTCCCCCTGGCAACCGGCAGAGCATCTCTTTGAAACCCTGAGTATTTGGAGGCTGATGAGTTTGATAAGCCAGTGCCTGGAAGTTGTTTCCTGGGCTTGTTAATCTGTGCTGATCCTAGCATCTTAGGCGCCTGTGTTACCGTCAGCAAGACTGAGACTGGCTGGTCCTGAGGCACACGCTCATGCTTCCCTTCCCCGTCTCCTTTCCTTTCTTTCCTCCTCTCTCTTCCTCCTGGCCCTGTTTATTCCCTTATGTTCTTTAACTCATCGAGTCCTAGCATCTTCCGATAGCGCTCGGCAATGGCAAGAGCTGCTAAGCTCCTTTAGGGTCTCCAAGGAATCAGTCTTTGGACTATAAAGAAGAAAGTAGCTTAGAGACACCAGCTGAGACTAGTGGTTGGTTGAGCGCCCAGTATCCAAGTCCTGTGCCCGACTCTCAGAGCAGGGAGCCCCCCAGAGTCTCAGCCCAGCAGCTTGCTAGGAGGGAAATCCCTGTAGCAACACAGGATGGAGGAAGCTTTGATTTTCGGTGAACATGTGCTTGGGAGTGGTAGACGGAGAGACTGTCCATGCCTTCCGTTTCTCAGAACGTTGGGGTGAAGTCAAGAACTGACAGCAAGAGAGTTGGGTATTGGGAGAAATTAGAGTAGGTTGGAAACGGACATTACAGGGTTGGAGATCCAGGCTTTTGAGCCGGGTTCTGGTAACCAGTCAGTACTCTTTGCTTCTGATCTTCCCACAGTATGTTTTGTTCCCATCCCATTCAACTGCCCTTGCATGGACAAGAGGATAGTAGAGTGTTGGGTCTATTCCTGGGGTAGGGTTTTCTAGGGGCTTGGGACAGGTCAAAGGGTCATGGAGTTTAAGATACTGGAGAGTGAAAGACAGACAGACAGAAGGGAGCTATGCATGGATGGGAAGATATTGAAAGCCTTTGTCAATGAGAAGTATCCAGTATAGTTGAACTGTCACTGTGTGTGTGTGTGTGTGGGGGGGACAATCCTTAGGAAAGCAAATTGAAAGAAAAGGATATTCTGGTAGGAAGAAAATGTCTGAATTAGTGATTTTTTTTTTTTTTTTGGAGAGGTTTTTGCTATAGGGCTTGCCAGAGAGACAGAGGGACAGAAAGCAACGAGAAATCACCACACGGGGGGATGGCCGCACTGCAATCCCTTCTCCTTTCTCCTCTCAAGATCTTGGGCATGCATGCACACACACCTTGCGTGAGTTTAAGCCACCGGGTCCAAGACTTGAACCGATGTCGACTACATGGGAGTTCAGCAAATAGCCATTATGCTGACTGCTGGTCCCCTGAATTAGTGATTTCTGAAGTGGAGAAATTGCACAGTGACCATGAGAATAGGAGGCAAGGTCTAGACGAGGAAGTCAAGCCATTAAAAGGCCAGTGCACATGCATCCTGAAATGGCCAGCCTGGTGGCAACCGTGTGGAAGTAAAGAATGAGTCAAGTGACAAGAGTTTCCTCAGTGCAGAGCAAGAACTAGAAGGTCAGCACATAGCAGAAATGAGAAGTGGGACACCGTGGTCTGACTTAATGCCGGATTCTGCACCAGGCACGCTGGGCGAAGACACCTGCTGTGGGCCTCCCTGCTACTCAGGCCTTTCTTATCAAGAAGGAGTGAACACCCCAGGACAAGAACCCTGTCTTCTTCTACTCCCTTTGTAGCACCAGAGTTGGCATAAGGAGGGCACACAAAATCTTTTTGAGCTGAACAATAGAACATTTGATTAAGATGGTAGCCAAATGCAAGGTGTAGACGAGATTTTAGGAATGTTAAAGATAGAAGGCCCCAGGAAGTGTGAATGTCCCAAAGAGGAATTATGGAAGAGGAAGACCTCCCAGATGGGACCAAGATGGAGAGGAGGAATCCCACGGCATTCTCAAACAGTGTGGCATGAGGAAGACAGACGCCCCAGGGTGTGTGGAGGACTTGGAGGAGAGAGACAGAGAGACAGAAAGCGAGACATCACCCCCCAGAAAGGATGGCCATGCCACAATCCCTTCTCCTCCATTCTCCTCTCGGGATCTTGGGCATGCACACACATGCACCCAGCATGAGTTTCCACCGGGTCCGGGACTTGAACTGTGGTCAATACATGGGAGTCCAGCAACATAGCTATTAAACTAACTGCTGGTCCCTGGAGCAGATCACTTTTGGAGTAGGGTGATGGCAAGATCGAGTCAGACCAGTTTGTATAAAGAATTTGGGTTTCATCCATAAGGAGTTATGAGATCCATGAAATATCAAACCCTGAAAGTTATTGAAGTATGCTATTTTTTACTGTACTTTGACATATTCACCCACGGAAACAAAAAGCATCAATATATAATCTTGTCTCTTTTAATTTTTCTCTAACCCTGTTACCCCTCTGAATTGTATATAGGATTCCATTATCATCAGTTATAATAATATGACATATTACATTCATCAGATAGAGGTAATATTAAGTGGCCTATACTACTGCAGAATCCCATCACTTAAAAAATGGAAGAACCTTGCCTTGAAAACCGGGTATTCTTGGGCCAGCCTGTGGCATGGTGGTTGGGGCAGCTGGATCCCACATGGATGATAGTACGGTTCAAGTCCTGGACCTAGCAGCTTGAGGGATCCTCCCAGCACCAAGTATGTGTGCCTGAAACCCTGAAAGAAGAGAAGAGTGTGGTGTGACCACCCCCCATAGGGTGTGTTTTCTCACTTTCCTCCTCTTGGTCTGTATCTCTGGCAAGCACATGTACCCTCTATGAAGTTAGGGAAAAAAAAAAAAAAGCCAGGTCTTCTGATTCTAATTTGTGTTATTTTATTTAAACTAGACTCTCTTGAAATTTCCAGATATTGAAAAATAAGTTGTAAAAAGAGCACACATGCCTGCTAGGTCTTCATTTTAAATTTCCAGTGACTTAATGAGGTGGCAAGAGGCTTAAGTAATCTCATTTAACTTAATTTTGCCTCATTTCTATGCCAACATTGCAAGATAGCTCCTGAGCCTCAGAAGTAGAGCATTAGGGGCTGGCGGGTGGTGTGGTGTGTAAGGCTGCTGAACTCCCACATGGCCAACCATGGTTCGAGTCCCAGATCTGGTGGTTTGCTTTCTGACTTTCTCTCTCTCTCACTCTCTCACTCTGTCCCTCTCTGGTCAAATTAAAAAATAAGTAAATAAGTAAAGTGAAGTAAAATAATTCTTTTAAAAAAATAGAAGTTCTTTTTCATAGAAAAATACCTGAAAAGGCATCCAAAACCCAGTATACTTTTGTTCTTTTTTTTTGAGAAGTTTTTGCTACAGGTCACGTGTGCTCACCAGAAATACAGAGAGACAGAAAGTGAGAAATCACCCCCACCCCCAGGGGTGATGGTCACGCTGCAATCCCTTCTCCTCCATTCTCCTCTTGGGATCTTGGGCATGCACGCACACACACCCAACGTGAGTTTAAGCCACCGGGTCCTGGACTAGAACCACAGTTAACTACACGGGAGTCCAGTGACATAGCCATGACGCCAACTGCTAGTCCTACTTTTGTTCTTTTTTTTTTTAAAGAAAGAGGAGGATTATTTTTTATTATTTTTTGAAAAGTTTTTGCTATAGGGCACATGTGCTTGCCAGAAAGATAGAGACAGAAAGTGAGAAATCACCCCCCAGGGGGGATGGCCACGCCGAAATCCCTTCTCCTCCATTCTCCTCTTGGGATCTTGGGCATGCACGCACACGCGCCCGGTGTGAGTTTTTAAGCCACTGGATCCGGGACTCAAACCATGGTCAACTACGTGGGAGTCCAGCCATGTAGCCATTATCTGCTGGTCCTGAGAGTGGAGGATTATTGAGGAGCCTTCCACATTTGATGCATCTAACTCAGACAGGGCACATTTAAACTCATTTAGTCAAAGTGGGCAGGAAGACCATGTTGAGGAGAGGTTGGAACTTTGCTGTTTCACCTTGAATTCTGTCTTTGAGAGATGTCACCAAGGGCCTTGGGGTTATTGTTGGCTGAAACCAAAAGAGAACTTGAGCTCATTCCCTATTTTCTCATATTATTCAAGTCAATCCCAAGAACCTGTCTAGGGAAACAAACCATGAGACATATGGTACACTTTTCCTTCTAGAAATTTCTCGAAATTTGACAGAGCAGTATGTCAGGG